TATATTACAAAGGTGGCTCTCCACACCTGGTCACAAAGTTTTTAAAACAGAGTCAATGGATGGGATGTGTAAGCTGTAACCTTGTGTTTGCCCTTTGAACCTTCTTCATTTCATTAGGGGTGTGTGTTCAAGGTGAGATGACTTTCTGTAATGCAGAACTCACTGAGATTTCCAGTTTTTGAAAACCACTGAAGTAAAAGCAGAGAGGTTTCAAGTCATACAAGGGCTGCTGTGAAAGTAATACCTGCTATTTTACTACACTGCCCACAACATCAGAGGCAGATGTTGGTGGTATGGCAGTAGAGGTTGAACCTTCCCACCAATATTTCATCACATTTTGTTGCTGTGTGACAAAGGGCAGCAGAAGGGCAGTCTGACAGAACAACACCTAACATGGAAGTGCTTATTAAGCAAAATTGTGTCACTGAGTTCCTCCACGTGGAAAAAATGGCACCCACTGACATTCATTAACACTTGCTAAACATTTATGGAGACCAAAGACTGGATGTGAACACAGTAAAGTGGTGGGTGGTGCATTTCAGCAGTGGTGGTGGTGACAGTGCTTCACCTCTGCTGGTATAGATGTTTATGAGTGGGGCATGTTGGCTCTTGTTCATTGCTGAGGAAAATGCAGAACTAACACTGTTGACTATTTTGAAAAATACCATTTTGTAGCTAAGAATTTGCTCTATTAAAGACTGTTATTATGCTCTTTGCACCTGTTGTCATTTCCATGGAAATAAATAGGAAGCATTAATTTCAGAGCTATCTACATATTTTAAAAAGTCTGTGAAGTACTTTTATGTACTCTGTACTTCAACCATGTGCACTTTAATTCTTTAAATATGAAAAAAGAAAGAATGAAATCACCTTGAATATGTACAACTACTCAGGTAGACTCTATAATGGATTTTCAGTTTTATTATTAGTGAAGGTCATACAAGAATTTTGCTTTACCCAGTTGGCTTCTAAAATATTGAAGGTTAGAATTTTCCCATCTAAGAAGTTCAAGAACAGCACATAAGGACCAAAGAATACTCTAGACTCATTAATTAATCAAGTCATGTCACAGCAGATCTTGTTAATCCATCCTCAGAGGAAACTCAAATGATGTTTCAATTCTCTATGCGAGAATAGACAGAATAGTGAATAGTGATAATGCTATACAATTACAGAGAGATGGGAAGAATTTGGAGACACAAGAAATTAAACTAAATTATTTTTTTCCCAACAGCAACTAAAATGACTTTTTTGGATATTATCTTTGTGAACTATTCTATTTAGAGGACAGTAGCAAGAGTATATTTTATAGCTAAATATTGTAAGGTGAAAGCATTAAATGCTCTGTTGGAAAGAACAAGAGTTAATGAGTTTAAAAGTCACTTTGTTGTGTAAAACTAAGCAGCTTATTTTGATGTCCTTTATCTATACGAAGCCACAGCAGAAGAATGTAGGTGTCCACTGTGTGTCCACTGTGAGTGACAATGACTAGGTACACAGTAACAGCTGCTATCTTACTTTTTCTTGTCTAGTAGAAGCTTTGTTTTCTTGTCCTAAAAAGAATTAAATTGCTGCATCCAGCAATGAGTCTCAGAGAAAAGTGTTCATTTTTCTTTTTCCTGGAATGAATAAACACTTAAATTTTGAGATTTACTAATAATAATCTTTATTCAGTTAAAACCGAGTATCTTGTTTCTGTCCTGAAAGTTAATGGGTGTCCTTACCCTATCATCATGCAGTTTTTAGGCGATGCATAGCAGTTCACACGTGAAAAGAATCTTGGATGTCAAGTGATTATTCTATACTTCGTATTTAAGATGTGTAAATAAACAGATGAGGTCAGTGACTCTTAAAAATCTGTGCTTGCTCAGAGAAAACATGCAGTTTGTATATGAAGGAAAGCAGTAATAGTACACATTTACCCTAAAGGGATTTATTGTAGGATACAATGTAAGCAAAAGATCCTGAGCTGGCTAAATGCACAAGACAAAGTTTTACGTTTTCTAAGACAAGTTGGCTGCTACCAGTTAGTTATAAAGAAATACATTTATTCAAATTTTAAGTCTGAGAAAAATCACAGTGGTTTTAAAAATCATTATACCACTCATATCTCAAGGTCTCTGTCCAGCTGTAGATTCTCTTTTCCAACCCTGCCTAAGGCTTTTCTGATTGCTCTGACATCTGCGTATTACATTATCCTTCAAACAGAAGGGAGATGCATCTGCAGCATAGGTCTGATCCAGAGATCAGTGAAAGCAATGGAAAGACTCCAACTGGTGCAATCACTTGTGGATCAGATTCTTGAATTGTTAGTGATGAAGCACAGTGTAAAATGTCAACCTCAATTAAGCTATGGCAAGATTTCCATTCTGTAGGGTCAGTACGTCAGCTATAAAAATTTCACAATTATCTGTACTCCATAGATTTCAATTACTTTCCAGCTTAGTGCATCTAGAAATGTGAAGCTTATTTGTAAAGTGACTTACCCTTTTTCAATTAATTCCAACACTTCTACTGCTGCTGCCGACTACCATGAACTCCTGTTTCTTTTTTATTTCTATTTTTGCCTCTTCTTCAGGAACGAAGTAAAAATGTGCTCTCATATTTGCAATTATGTGCTTATTCCTTGCATTTGTACACATTTTTAAGTATCACCACTACTTATGTAACTGAGGTGCCCTCTGGATTTTGAAATCCAGAATTTCAAAATGAAGATTTTTAATGTAATGTGAATATTTACAGAATATACCCACAGGTATTCACACACTATTTTTGGAGAGCAGGACTAAAAAAAGCAACACAACACTATAGGCTTTATAACCAGTGCCTATGCACTTCAAGCAGGGGATCCAGGGCCTCAGATCATGAGTGCAGCCATGGCTTCATTGATTTTGGTCAGCCAACCTAATGGTGAGCTTTTTCTACCTGGCCTTATTCAATTCATCATGGCCATTCTATAGAAGTAAATTGTTGGTGAAAAATGAGAATCAATACCTATCAAGGTGAATAAATATGAAAAGACTTTGATCTGCTGTCAAATGTTTTGTGTGTAGTGAAGTAAGCTATATTGACTACGAAAAAATCCTACTTTTGAGCTATACTCTGCACATTCTTTAGACTTAAAGTAAGTCCCCTACCTGCTATTTTTTTCATTAAAAAATGAAATATCAGTCATGACTAGTTAATTAGCTTACTCAGCCATTCTATTCTGATATAATCAATTTTTTCATCCAGCTGCTTTATTCACAAGACCCCATTAGCAGTTTCAGAACATAAATGTCTAGTTCATCTGCAGTGCAAATTGCAAATCCACTAACCATCTAATCTTGCCATGACAGCTCATGAAATCTTCCAGGCATTGCTAGATTTTGTTCTGGAGGTTTCCAACAAAAATTTTAAGAGCCCCGAAGACTACAAAGGTCAAAGGAAAAAACAAAACAAAATAAAACTTTGGCTGTGATTAGAAAGAATGAATTCAGGAGTAGCCATTTTTTGTTGGCTTTGAGCATATCTTCCCTGTGACAACTCTACTGATCTCACAGCAATATCATGTAGGTATTTTATTCCTACAGATAGATATACTCCCACTCTTTGGCATCCTCACTGTTAATTCCTATTCATTAAGCAGGCCTGGCACTGTTGCGTCTCAGATCCTCGGCAACTTTTCTGCACCCATTTCCTCACATTAATCATTTTGCACTGCTCTTGGATGCCAGCTCTGAACGTTGATAAGGGAAGTTGATCCAAAGTCAGACAAATTTCTGCCTAGTGAGGGGCTGGGTGGAAGCTGGAAGAGCTGTAGGCCATTTCACTTCAATGTACAATTAAGGATGGATTTAAATGATGGATTTGTTCTTTATCCAGCCCCGCCTTCCCAAACCAGACTCCGTCCTTCATTTCATTTTCAGAGATCTGTGTATATTTTTGAGAACATAACTAGATTCTTATACAGACATGAAAATCACAAAAATGAAAGTCAGAGGAGGCATATCTGCATCTAGTGATACATACCAATATTTTTATATTCTGAAATCATGAGGAAGGAGAAAGCCCTCCTGGCTGTAATTCAGTTTATTATTATTATTATTACTATTTTATTTATGTGTGTGTATGCAGTTATATGTCTATCAGCAGAAATGAACCTGGAAAAATCTCTGAAATTCTTCTGAACACCTCATCTCATCTTGTGGCATTTCATTGAATAGCATCAAGCACAGACTTATATAGTCACAATTAAAAATGCACCCCTAATAAGCATATTAAGATAGATTTCAGTATGTGTTCCTTCAGTAGCATATACACTAAAACTGGAATGATATAGAGATTAGCGTAGCCCGTGTGCAAGGATGATACACAAATTCATGAAATTCAGGCTTCCCAGCAGGTGGTTAATGCCCCATGCCTGCCAGTGTTTAAGTCATTTGGATAATGCCCTCAATAATATACTCTAATTTGTGGACAGGCAGTCAGACTAGATGATCCCTAAGTCCCTTCCAATTCAACTTCTATATTATCCTATCCTATCTTATCCTATCCTATCCTATCCTATCCTATCCTATCCTATCCTATCCTA